GCAAAGACAAAAAATACTTTCTAAATAAACACCAAGACTCGGTCAGCGCTTATCAACTTTTTTAAAACAAATCTGGTATGAGATGTACAATAATTAGAAAACAGCTTTCCCAGGATTTATAACCATTCAGTAATGCATACACTTAGTTACTTTTTGAATTAAAACAAAAAGACCGTAAATTTCTTAATGATCTTAATGTCCTTTAACAATAACAGACTTATTTTTCTACTATTCCCATTATTGTTATAAATAATATTGTAAGTAGCACTAGTAGAAGTGTGGTGAGTGCTACTTACAAGATTTTGTAAGTAGTATGTTCTATGGTGTGTGCTACTCAAGAATCTTGAGCAACAAAGTGAAAGACTAAGTACCGAAAAGGAGAAATGAAGATTCCTGTGAAATTATATAGACAGCATGAGAGGGAGAATAACTTTTATAAATTAAAATTTCAATGTTAAGGTTTTTGCATTTCGTCATCACTGTACATCATCATTTCATCAAATAAACAATTCTGCTAGCAAATACCGTTATCTTCTGCCATAACAGGAATAGGTAATTTTATACACGTTACATACAATCTAATGACTTATTTACCCTAGTATTATTTATTACCAGCCTCCTCATTATTATAACTAGTATGAGTCATACATAGTTTTACCTGTGAATAAATTTAAACTATCATCCATCCGCACAAATTGATTCACAATAACCTTGAATAATCGATCTATCTGGCATACACTTCAAATCTAGTATTTATATTGAACAATGAATTCATCTAAAGGAAAAGGTAGGTATGCCTTCAAACCACACAAGAAAAGTACAAATTAAGAAAGATTGAAATGTAAAAGATAAGGAGATATATATATGTGAAAATAAATTTTTTAGACGTCATTGTATATATATGTACATATGTTTGTGTGTTTTCCCTACGCTGAATATTTTAAACAGGATGTAGTGAAAATTGAATGTGAATCAGTTACTCTTCATTTTTTTTACAGGTGAATAAGTTGAAAACACAAAAATTAGTGGAAAGATAAAAACTACTAAATAAGGCAAATTTTCTGTGGAAAGAAAAACAGCATAGCACAAAATAAAAATTCAGTCTTGAAAACAAATAATGTTTTTTGTTTTGTTTTTTACTTCTCACTGACCACACACACTAGGATTTCATAATATTTTTTTATATAGGAAGAATGAATGTTTTAACTAACCAATTCTTTAAAAATAAAATAGACTACTTCTTACAAATATACTTTAAAATTTAAATTTTTTATGATTTGGTAAAATTTAAGTCATTTTTTTGCGTTATCTAGACTCTGTTTAGTTTTTTTAGTGTCTAATTTGAAATGTTCTGCTTATTAGCTGTATTTTTATATAGATTTCTTATAGGCATCTTATCTCTTGTCTACGCCAAAAAAATACTAAGTCGCATCATCCTGGAGAGAATAAAAAATGCACAGAACTCCACCAACCGGAACAAGCTGGATTCAGTAAAGGCAAATCATGTGCTCATCGAATTGCAACTCTACGCATCGTCATCACAGAACAAAGCATAGAATAGCAGTCAAACCTCTCTCTACCTCAACTTCATCGACTTCAAAAAGGCCTTCGACAGACAGCGTTAACCGAGAAGTAATTTGGAAACTACTTCAACACTACGGCGTGCAGTGCCCAAATCTTTATCAACCTCATTCAACAGCTACATGACAATGCAACGTGTCAGGTGATCCACAACCGAAAACTCAGCGGCGCATTTCAAGTGAATACAGGAGTAAGATAAGGCTGTCTACTATCACTGACGATGATATTCTTAATTGTGGTGGATGGATTATGCGTCAAACTATGCACGGGGAGCGAGGAGACAGGAATACGCTGGACCACCAATAAGAGGACTCCAGAAGATCTGAATTTCGCGCGTGGATGATTCACGTTTAATGTCACACAAACTCGAAGACTTGCAGGCGAAAAGCAGCAAACTGGCTGAAGAGGCTGGTAGGCAAGCAGCGAAGACAGGACTCCAGGTGAATATAATGAAGACGGAGGTGATGAGGATAACCAACCACCACCAACAGCAACAAAAACAACAATCCGTAGCAACAACCATCAACTGGAGATATTTGACAGAGGTTACTTCCTTCACTCATCTGGCCATGAAGCATGGTTACAACCACAGGCGGTGGGACGAATGCAGATTTCAGAGCCAGCCAGAAAGGATTGGAAAGGCAGCATACACCTTTATCAACCTGAAAGCAATTTGGAAATCTTTTGCGCTCAGTCAGTGTGTAGAACAAGATTCGGATTTTAAAGACAAATGTGAAGTCAGTCAGTGCCTCTATATGGGTCAAAAAGTTGGCGGACGTGTCGCGAAAAGAACAGGTGTCTGCAGACTTTTATCGACAGCTGCCCTCTTCGCTGACTCCATACTGAAGAACAAATGGCCAGCTGGCCAGAAATAATTATCAACAAGAAAGTCTGGCAACAAACCAATCAAGAGCCGATCGCTCAACAAATATGTAGGAGAAAATGGAGATGGATTGGGCATACGCTGAGGACACCATCGAATGACATCGCGCGCAATGCAGGCCATCGTTCGAGTGGAATCCGAATGGGAAGCGACGAGTGGGTCGTCAGTGCGAGGGTGACATGGAGGAGATCGTGTGTTGGGAAGGAGGAGATGAGAGATTATGGTCAATCGTGGACCTAGCTGAAGAGGACGGCAGAAAATAGAACAAAGTGGAGATGTGTTGTTGAAGCCCTATGTTCCACTTGGAACCCAATGGAATAATAATAATAGGCGTCTTATCACTATAATTATTTGGGCTTCAGCAACACATCTGCTTTGTATTCTGTCCAAGGTTTTACTTTTTATCTGGAACAAAGATTTAATTTCCCACTCCAATGATCTTTCACATGTTTCCCTCGGAGGCCTAAATCATCACTTCCCACTCCGGTTCCACTCGAAAGTCTAGTGTATAATAGCATTCGATAGTCTCCTCAGCGTATGTCCTATCCATCTCCATTTTCTCCTGGATATTTATTATGCAGTGAATTCTCAACTCCCTATTGCTTATCACTACCGAGCGAACATTTGACCTTCAGTATCGAGCTAGTGAAGACAGTTTTTGGTGAAAATCTGAAGCAAGCTGTTGGAAACGTTTTTAGTGATGCGCGCAAAATCTGTATAGAAGCAGTGACTGACATGTGATTAATTTCAAAAGTTCGGATCATTTTCTTTGTGCTAAGATCTGATACTGGGTGGCTTTGACGTGCTTTTCTGTAGCGTTTGTATTTGGAACGATACTGCCCAGGTAGGTATCTTAGGTGAATATAATCTCCAAGTATTTATATTCTCATCTTAACTTTAATTGCTTCAAATTAAGCGTTGCCTTCCTCCAGGGGTAGTAACCAGATACACAGTTCTGAAAATATTTATCACCATTTCTGTTTATACTTAAAAGTTTTTAGTCCGAATGAGCCTAAAACCTATTTTGACTAAACTTATATGCAATATATGCAAACATTAACTAATCAAATAAACACTTAAAGTTCGTTAATACAGTTATTATAGAAATTTTATAACCAAGTACCAATGAACTATGAAATCTGACAATGAATGATTGTTTAGTGTTGGTGGTCTGCAGGGATTTGATTGGTTACTGACTTGATCACGAGCCGACATCAGTTAGAGAACCATTGGACCAGAGGGGTCGACAAAGTCAGGTAAGAGAACACACTTACTCACTGGTGATATATATGTATCACGAATCGGCAGAAGTCGGAATTCATGGGCCACTGGATCAGGTCCGAGTGACTGAATGATCAACGAACTCGCCTTGTAACCAGAAGCCCAGGGGTTCGAACGTACTGATAAAGAGTCCCAGACTAGGACGAAACGGCTGTTCAGTGCTCCCTGGTTTTCTTGTGGTTCTCTTAATGATATCAGCTCGTGATAAGATCTCTAATAAACGATATATCTGTAAGTACTGTCAAACTTAGTACTCGAAATTAGGAGCCGAGAATATGTTGGCAGTCATCAGCATGAACTATATGAAAATTTGTAAAACCAAACTGTATCCCTCCAGATATTCTAACCTGTCCTAGTAAGGTAGTTAGATTAATCTAAAAAATATAAGCATTCCGCAATTAATAGTGTTCTCTGAGCTGGTTGGTTTGGTTGCGGAGCTTTCGTCGTCCTTCTGGACAACATCTTCAGCGCCCTATTTAGCATAAAGTGAAATGACTTAAATTTCTTCATGAGTGATATAATTGCGTCTCTCGGTAACCATCTTTACATATGTATTGACCATTTTCTATTGACTTGGATTTTAAACTTTCTGGTCACCTGATTTACTTTTTATTAGTTGGTATATTTCGTCTATATTAACGTGTTTGTTAATTGCATTTTCGTTTGAATACCAGGTTTCTAGGAATTCCCTGGCACTTTTGGTGTTTCCTCTGTCTGAGATTTTGACATTATCCCAATCAAATTGATGACCATAATTGTCTATATGCATTGATACTAAAGAATATATATCGTGTCTTTTCACGGCTGATTTGTGTTCTTGGATTCTAATTCGAAGGAGACGCCCACTTTGGCCGATGTAATGCCTGTTGCAGTTCATACAATTTATTTTGTAAATGGTATTAATTTTATCTCTTTTTCTGTTGGATCTTTCGGTTTGCATAATATCGAATCAAGCGATTTGACTGGCTTGTGTGCTATATCTATATCAAACGGTTTCAGTATTCCAGCTGTTATTTTAGAGATATTTCTCATGTATGGTAGAATGAATTTTCTTGTGGTCTTTGATGATGGTTCTTTGTTGGTGTTTTGATTCGACTTTAAACACTTTTTGATGAAATTTTGTGGATAACCATATATATATAAGCATTCTGATAAAAAGAAAATATTATGACCATGTCTAGAAGTAGAAATTTGAACATTAAACGTAAAATACAATTTCTTCTTGTTAATAAAAATAATAAAATTTTTAAATTACCAGAGTAAAAAGATTTGCAGTAGCTGCCCATCGTCGTATACGTGTTAATGACCAGGTTTCTATAATTTCTTTAGTTTTTTCATCTACACGCATTACACTTTCTTTACTAACTCCAAATAAACGTGGTACAAGTTTATTACGTCCTTTTAATTTTTCCTGAAAAATGAAACAGGAAAAAAAATTTTTTAAATAAAAAGTGTCTTTTTACTAAATAGAACATTTCTAACATGAAACGTATTATAGGTTGGAAAGTAATTAGAGTTGGTCAGACGAAAACAGTTTATGTGATATTGGACTATCGATTAAACAAAGTGTGTGTTGCACAGAAGTCTGCTGCACCCCTTTTTTATGGCTTAGACAAGGCAGTTGAAGGGGTTAGCCATTTTAGACCACGAATATTTGCATTCCCGAGTTAAGCGGTATAGTATAATGGGCAATATTGAGGCTAGGTGTAAAATATTAAGAGGGAAAATCAATCGAAGAGGTTGTGAAGCTACATGGATAGAACATGTGTTACGCATGCTGAGCCGTCGCCTTCCTCCTCGAGAAATGTTAGCTGGCACAGGATTAGGTTAGGAGAGAGTCAGGGGGAAGGGTTACATTGAAACATGAAGTCTTTGACTGCTGGTTTAAGCCGCGTAGAGAGGGACAGGCTAACTGAGGTTCTCGAGACGCTAAAAATCAATTACTGGAGGTTGTCGGTGACATGACTTAAAATTGTTCTTGATGGCGCAACTGCAATTACTCTTTGTAATACCTCGGAATAATTGAATCCCCCTTATTCTCCAGGTAATTATTCTCTCTCCCGCACATTTCCATGTAATATAGTTTCTTTGCATTTCCTTCTTCTCTACATATATATGTGCTTTTATGAACTGTTGAACTTTCGTGCAAGTTTCAGTTCAGCTGAAGAAAAGTTGACATTCACAAACTAAATTATCCTACTAACTGGAGTGATTTTAAACATAAAAAAGTATTAGTGATGAGAAAATATACGTTCACAACTTTTCTATAATGGCTAGAGTAGTTCCTGTTAAGGCACAAATGTACACAGTATTGATTTGAACAAAACTGATATAATAGAAAAAAGATTTGTAGCTCAGACAGCAGAGATGATTTCGATTTGCTTACATTCTTTGAACTAGGTGGTTTAATTGAAAAGCTTTCATTATCCTCCTGGGTGAAGTGAGTGCTTTTGGAATTATTAATGACTTCTATATTGAAGTCTGCGCTGAAGGTGTTGACCAGAAAGCCAATGAAAGTTTCACAATTAAACTATCTAGCTCAGAGAACGCAATCAAATCAAAACTGATATGGTTGATAGACTTATACAGGAACTTTTAAAACGACAATCAAGCAAAAATGCATACGGTAATGGTAAATTAGTGTCAAAGCCTTTACAATATCATCAACGGTTCAAAAAACCCCTCTCAACACACACACACACAGAGTGCATGATAGTCGACTAGTCATTTCACTTCGAGAGAACAACACATCTCAGCTCTCTCTCATTGTTAATACATTACCGCCGTATCTTAATAACATTAAACTTAACAAAGACCCGAATAGCTCAGTGGTAACGTCTCTGACTGCAGTACTCACTGGGTGACGCGGGTTCGAATCTCAGAAGGGACATGAGTTCCTTCAAGTTGGTTGCAGATACGCCTTGCTGACTAGTGAGTGCCAACTAGCACGAAACCTAGGTCCCTGTAAGGCTTCCTGCCGATTGCCTCCAACTATCTAATATCACCATTGTCGTTCCACAAATTTGAAGCAGGGAATGAAGATGAATCGGACAGATGCTAAAGAGATAGCTGAGTGACATCACATGCCAGGCTCTCGAGTAGAACCCGATTGGGAAACGCCTAACTGGGCGATCTACGCTGATAAAGAGATCGTGTGAAGGAGAGATAAAAGCTTATAGGAAATCGTGGAGCCTGTTTAAAAGGACTCCAGAGAACAAGATGAACTGGTGATGTGCCGTTGAAGACCACTTGGAACCTAAGCGAATGATAGTAATAATAACCTATTTCATATTATCCTTGTTACGTCAACGAATTATCGAAACTCTCTTCTTCGCAAATGTATTTGTTTAATTTAGGAGATGATAATAATAATAGTTAATAATAATCGATCATAAACATAACCTTCATTCAGGTCAATCGACGGTGTATGGCAACAGTAATGTTTAATTGCTAGCAATTCAGGTAAATAAGGTCAGCTTCAATACTATTGATTATACAGAACAGTATGATATTTTAAGCAATCAAAAGTCAATAAAAATACAAATATTATTGAAGCATTACTTGTACATCAACAAAATATCATTCTTGAAAAGTCTCTAATCTAATTTCATCATCTCTACCTTTTTATTGCTGATAGGTAGCTTTCAAACACTTCTAGTAATACTTCTTGTAGGATTGTTTCCTTGTCATTCAATTTACACAGATCAATTCTCATTTTGCTGAAGATCAAAATTTCTGATTTTCCCGCCAGAATAATTTATTATTTGTTTATTTCTGTTATTTTTTTTCTAACTGATTTTACTATCAGTCCATTTCTTATAGACCCATACATATATCTAATATTATTGTTCACATTGGTTTCTCATTCAGTGACACTATTCATACATATACATAAAAGATGACAGGTTTTTCAGTTGAGTGTCAAAAGTTGGAAACAACGTGAAACGAATTCTCCACAGTCACTGGGTGAATATACATATGTGCTTTGAAAAGCTTATAACTTCCATGTAACAAACTTTGTGTTTGAAACTGAGCATCAGAAATAAACAACTACTAATCCTACCGCATAAAATAAATGAAAACGTTTGACTTTTATTGTTACTATTACATTATCAGATGTGATAGATGATATCAACTAGAGAACCATTAAAAACTGGGGGATGCTGAACAGATGTTTCGTCCTGGTGAAGGATTCTTCATCGGCACATACCCATGACTCCGATAGGGAGCGAACTCAGGATCTTCAGATTACAAGTCAAGGTCATGGTTGAGTACTGGTGAAGAGTCTCAAGCCAAGTCGAAACAACCATCCAGTACTCCCTGGTTTTCAGGATTTCATGATGAAATCTAACTTAGAGGTATTTCTCTGAATTTTTTCTTCAGAATATAGAGAGAATAAAAAGTAGTTCGATTAAATAATCGCGTAATACATGAATGAATGAACATTATCCTTTCAAGCCTAAATAATTATTTCATCCAAAGATTGTCTACATAAGTTGACTAACTAACTGACTACGTTTTCAGTGTAGAAATCAGCACAAGAGGACAGCAGTTCAAGTCAAGCCACACTCCATACAGCACAAAAAGGTAGCGAAAAATAAAAAATTCAAAGGAACTATAATGTGGGACCGAAAGAATAAGCACATGGAGAATAATAAGGATTTAATAGATCTGCAAAGTCACGAAGAGTTAATGCATCTATGCCACTGACAACGATGTTGAGCCATGTGTCACCAACAATCTCCATTTACTGGTCCCTAGAGTCTCGACGACCCTAGCCACACAGACTACACCTGTCCACGTGGCTCAAACCAATCAGTCATAGACTTCAAGAGTAACTTAACGCAGTCTAGAACAAAATAACCGAAAACACATGAGATTTGAAATTTTAAGAATTCTCACTGAATACAACGGGATAAAACAATAGAAACTAGTACGTTGGCTGTTAATATTAAAAAGAGGTGTTTAGCCGTTGCCAAGATGACGTCCACACGCTGGTAAACTTAAAAACTGAGCGGTTGATCTAATCAAATGTAGAAACTCGTTTATAAACGTATGTATATACACATATATCCAATCCAAATCTCGGTCTATAATGCTTTTCACTAACTCAGACTGAAACATAATAAATAATAATTTGGAACATCGGCGTGAAGATTTATTATAAGCTTCAATCAAAATAAAAATACACTTTCGTAGGATTTTTTCATCCCTGGCGTTCCAGGTGGAACATAAGGCTTCAAGCTTCGAAAATTTCAGTAACGTTAGCCTTCCTTTTACTGCGTTAGGTGACTTAGCCACTCGCCAAACCTTCACCTCTTTCTCCGGATTCCAAGACGAAGCTTAGCAGTGTGTCGCGCTGGGCGGGATTCGCACCCAAACTCCTAGTGTAGTTTGAGAATATTCTAACATCGAACCATCGAGAAAGCAGAGCAGTAACAACAATAAAAGAAGTTACCTTCCTCACAGAAAATACAAAACTCACTTTTATAAGAAAGAATGTTATACCATAAGTCGGTAAGGATCTGCACAATTGAACATAGCGTAGTTTAGCTTCTCTTTCGTCGTAATTCTCCAGCTTTTGATATTGCTAGATAAAATCGATTTTTTAAAAAAAAATAAAATCACATTAAATTATATCAGAGGGTCATCAGATAATTATTTATGTCTACAAAACTTCATATAAATGTGGAAGTACACGTGGTTTTAATTATATGTGACTCCATTAAAGTCGGTTTCAAAAGGTAGAGAATGGCAGCTAAAATTTCACTGAGTTTTACAAAGGAAACCGAAAATATTTTTTTAAATATCTAATGTAACCTAAAATTATTAATTATGCCAAGATTAAAACTGTAAAAGTCATAAGACATATACACTAATAAGTGCTACAAGTAGTCATAAATCACTTCTATAAACCAATAGTAGACACTGCCAAGTTCAATATGATCTAAACATTTGATGACTGTTTCACTTGTTCCTGCCAGAGCTCATCAGTGGTGCATCTGGACTTATTTAGCTAACAGAGAGAAACGTACCAAATAATCACGTAGTATTCAAGGAGCAGTAGTGGTTGATATATGGTTTGAAACTAATTCCAACATTATCCGATGGTTATATCAAATGAAACAGACTGTCGAAACCCACCAATGTGTTAACGATACAACAAATTACAGATTTATCGTCAGTTACAAAAATAATTAGTCAAATCATACACAGATATGTGAAAATGAATTATTTGTTCCACTGTGAGAAATCAGTGAATTGTATTCAAGAACTCATGTGTGCACAAGCACAAATTGATCTTCCTCGACTCGACAATCAAAAGAGATAATGAGTGTGGACTATTAAGGATGAAACAAGCATCTACAGCTCTTCTTAGTTTTTACACATTTTCTGGCTAATATACATCAG